AAAAAACAAATTGTTTTTTAAACAGCATTTCAATATAATTTTAACTTTTTTTTTAAAGCATTTTTTTTTTTACCGAAACTGTTGTTAAAGCAAAAGTATTTCTTATCTTTCTTAAGATAACTTCCTAACCAAATTTTATTCTTGAAGGACCTGCGGGCCAAAACATCATATTACAGACCAAATGTTGCCTGTATTCAGACCACCCTGCTGATACTTCATTATAATAAAATATAAATGATCAACCAATGACAGGTAATCAAGTTATTTAAAAAGCATGTTACCATAAAACTGACATATTAAGTATTTTTCTTCAATAGTAAGTAAAAGTGTACATAAAAACAAAATACTAAATAATTGTTTTATAACTTTCATAACACACTAATTAGTTTGTTATATGTATATGAAAAAAATAAGTACAAGTTTCTATTTCTAATCTAATCAACAAAACAAGGATCAAAGTGATGTCTATCAAAGATCTGAATCAGAATTATAATGTTTGATTTTAGTTGAAAGTAAAACATTAGCATTTATTAAGGACTTTAAACAAGCAAGTTATCATATAAAATCAGTAGGACCACAGTTTACTATGAATAACAAATTTTCCACTTTTCATATTTACATTTCTATTAAAAAAAAAACTTACCAATTCCAGAATGAAGATTTTTAATACAACTATTTGACAACCTCCACTTTGACATTAAGTAATTTTTCTTAATTTTAACCAGTATTCAAATACTGTGCACTGTGCTTAAGCAAAGATATCTGTTCTCAAGCTTCTATAAAAAGTTACATGCTCCTCTTAATTTCTTTTGTATCAATACAATGAATAAACATCTGTTATATAACAAAATGCTTCATCTATTTCTATGCAGTGCCCAGAAAAAATACAAATTTATTGATTTTAATACTTACTATAAGCTGTATGTAAGCTACAACTTTATTACATCTTAGTATGTAGATCATAACATACTTCTGGAACATCCAAAATTAACATTTTTTTATATCAATTATTTTCATATACAGAAAACATTCCCAAATAATCATGCAAGCTGTTAGGAGTTTTAATTACATGTAGATTCTACAAAGAGTACTGACAATTCTAAGAAATATATACAGTCAATACCATTGCTTTAACACAAAAAAGAGAATGGCTAAAGCATAAAACAATAGTTTGTACTTTTTGTTTACATTTTGAGTGATACACTTGGGTTATCTTCTGGAATATGCATTTTGTTTGTTAAAGTTATACAAGTTTCACACACACACACACACACAAACAAAGTAAATAAAATGCTTTTACTTTAATTTTTCAGGTGTTATTTCCACTTCCTCATACCTAAAAAGAAAAAAAAATTATTTCATTAATACAAACCCCAAGTTAATGTAAAGAAAGCTTGTGAACACTGAAAATCAACATTTTGCACAATTTAGAACTGTACATAGTGAAATAAACAATAGAAAAACAGTCTTCCTAGCAGACAGTCAGGTTACCAACTATTAAGCATTTATCATTATTTCTATATTTGAAAATAACTTATTTGATTTTTTTCTTTTTATTAGCTGTGTTAAATTCTACTTATCTGAAACTTTTTAATCTCATATCAAGTAGAATTTAAATGTTTTATAATAAGTTATATAAACAGAATAGCATCATGATGGATTAAGTAAACTAACACCTGTCAAGTTTCCATAGTTTGATTTGACTTGCTGAAGAAATGTTTCATTTACTAACCTATCAAAATTACAAAAGAAAACTTATCACTCAACTAAACTGACTTACTTGGCTATAATTCAATAAAACACTGAAGACAAGGCAAAGCCATCTTAATAATTACAAAATAGTTCCAGAGCACTATTTGCACACTAATTACAATCAAAAGAAGTATTATATGGTAGTCAAACACAGCTATCTTTAAGTAGACATTAAAACATCTTTAAACATTAATCACAAATAAATTCAAGCAGTAGTTACACAAAAATTTAAAAAGAAAAGTTGTAAATAAAATAAACTCATAGTAGATACCTCATCTTCCTCTTCATTGTCTTCTTCTTCATGAGAAACTTCCATTTTTGCAATCTTTAAAAAATAAATAAAAACTATCTGGACATCTTTCATACTGCACACAATTTCACATTTAAAAACGGTGTGAGTTTATACTAGAATCAATTATATATATATATATATATATATATATATATATATATATATACGAAGGATATACTATATATTAGTAGTATTACTATATATATACTAATACTATAAT